GGGCTAAGGAAGAAAGTTGTGGTGGGGTAGATGGAGGGTTTGGAGTAAGGGAAGGGCAGGACTTGGAGCAGAGGCTTGGGGTGTGGGAGGCCTTAGGAGTGCTGTACCCCCCTGGCTCCCAAGCAGAGGCAAGCTGCCCCATCCTCAGGTACTGCCTCTGCAGCTCCTATTGGCAGAGTGTTTTTTGGGGCAGCGGCAGGGGAAGTGTGCTCAAAACAGAAGATGCTCAAAGTATGCCCTTGGTGGCCCTTACATGTAGGAGGGGAAACATGCTGATTATGGGAGCTGTGAGAAGTCTGGAACTTGAGGGTCAAAATAAATCTATTAGAAGCAAGAGGAAGACCAAGGATAGGGTAGGCCCACTGGTCAGTGAGGAGGGAGAAACAGTAACAGGAAACTTGGAAATGGCAGAGATGCTTAATGACATCTTTGTTTCAGTCTTCACTGAGAAGTCTGAAGGTGCCTAACATAGTGAATGCTAGTGGGCAGCGGGTAGGTTTAGAAGATAAAATTTAAAAAGAAAAAGTTAAAAATCACCTAGAAAAGTTAGATGCCTGCAAGTCACCAGGACCTGATGAAATGCATCCGAGAATACTCAAGGAGCCGATAGAGGAGGTATCTGAGCCTCTAGCTATCATCTTTGGAAAATCATGGGAGACAGGAGAGATTCCAGAAGACTGGAAAAGGGCAAATATAGTGCCCGTTTATAAAAAGGGAAATAAGAACAACCCAGGAAACTACAGACCAGTTAATTTAACTTCTGTGCCAGGGAAGATAATGGAGCAAGTAGTTAAGGAAATCGTCTGTAAACACTTAGAAGGTAGGAAGGTGATAGGGAACAGCCAGCATGGATTTGTAAAGAATAAATCATGTCAAACCAATCTGATAGCTTTCTTTGATAGGATAACGAGTCTTGTGGATAAGGGAGAAGCGTTGGATATGGTATACCTAGACTTTAGTAAGGCGTTTGATACGGTCTCGCATGATATTCTTATCAATAAACTAGGAAAATACAACTTAGATGGGGCTACTATAAGGAGGGTGCATAACTGGCTGGATAACCGTACTCAGAGAGTAGTTATTAATGGTTCACAGTCCTGCTGGAAAGGTATAATAAGTGGGATTCCGCGGGGGTCTTTTTGGGACCGGCTCAGTTCAATATCTTCATCAACGATTTAGACATTGGCATAGAAAGTATGCTTATTAAGTTTGCAAATGATACCAAGCTAGGAGGGGTTGCAACTGCTCTGGAGGATAGGGTCATAATTCAAAATATCTGGACAAATTGGAGAAATGGTCTGAGGTAAACAAGATGAAGTTTAATAAAGACAAATGCAAAGTGCTCCATTTAGGAAGGAACAATCAGTATCACACATACAGAATGGGAAGTGACTGTCTAGGAAGGAGTATGGCGGAAAGGGATGTAGGGGTTATAGTGGACCACAAGCTGAATATGAGTCAGCAGTGTAATGCTGTTGCAAAAAAAGCAAACATGATTCTGGGATGCATTAACAGGTGTGTTGTGAGCAAGACACGAGAAGTCATTCTTCCGCTCTACTCT